TATATATATATATATATATATATATATATATATAAATAATATATATATATATATATATATATATATATATATATATATATATATATATATATATATATATATATATATATATATACTTAATAAATATATAATATCTCTCGCCTTCTTAACACCACCACAGAATTTCATTTTTTTACTGAGAGAAATTAAGAAATCTCGAAAAACTCAAACCAAATCATCCTAACTTGAAATATTTAAAATATTCGAAAAACACCTATGTTATTTAATTATTACATATATATTATTTACTAATAACTCGCTCAAATGCCAAGGAAAAAATGTGAAAAGCACTATCGCTTGATTAGCTGAGCTTTCTAAGAATTTGGGTCCATTAGTCCTGATCATTAATAATAAATTCCTCAATAACAAAAATTCCTTCCTTTTACCCTCAACTCATTAGAAAATCTAACGAAGATAAGGCTGAATCATCATAAATGAAAATTATTAACTTTCAGATGCCCATCTAATATCATTTAATAAAGTGAACTTATTCATAACTGCTAGACGAACCTAATAATTCCGGTAGCAATACTTGACTTCGATGCTCCTCAGCAGATGACTGCTTCCGCGATTCCAGATCTGTAAAGGATGTAAAAAAATGAAACCAATGTATTTTATTGGGCTTTTTCATTAAGAGTCCTTAAATTCCAGCTTTTTAAATGAAAGAAGAAAAAACTAGATCCGTTCCCCAACCAATCTCCAGACTAATTGTCCGCATGGATTTCAACCAAATCTTAAAATGAAGGAAGTATGATAAATTCTCATCATTAAGAGTGAAAGATTTCAGAACCGTATATTCAAAGAACCATATACTTCTAAAGAAATTTCAATTCCAAATTTCCTTCAGTCTAAAGACAAAAATCGTAAAGGAAGTTTGCTTACTGAATAACTGTTGAAAAAAGATATTTTATTGCTAAGAGTTTGTTGTCTGGATTGGAAGAGATTCCATAATTCTTATTCAAATTCTGAGAAAAAAACGTAGAATTTAAAAGCATCTCACAATACGTCTACTACCAGTCGAATTATAAAGATCAATCCTCAACAGTAACGAACTGAAGTAAATTTGATGTAAGTAATATACTATCTTTCTTAAACTACACATACAACACTATAACGTTAAAAGGACTGGAAGGATTAAAATGCTAACAGAAAACCTTTCGATTCTATACAATTACAACAGAACTGGTAGTACGAATTTGCAGAGAGGTAAGTAAGTCGCTATGCATTTATTTAAGTAAATCAGTACTTACTAGATTCTAATTTCTGTAGCCGGGAAATCTTTCATCATTTACTAGATCAGTTGATTAATAAACATCGTACTTACCCAAATCAGAAAAGCTATCGAAAGATGCACGATGATCAACCACAGGGTCAGAAGGTAGTGATTCATATTTTGGTGAGACGATATGTTCAATTGCATGCAACTTGCTAACGGGCGATATCTTCCTTCCATGCTGCTGACTTCCTTGTGTTACTACAAAAGCGGCAAGTTGTAGATAACACCCTCGCAGCAGGAAAAGATGAGGATTCATGATTGACTTGTAATATTTCAAAACCTATCAGAAAGTCTGAATTTCAGCTCCTTTCTCACGGATACATCAAATCCATAAAAGACGGGACATCAGTACAATTTTTGTTGCAGTTTTTTTTGAAGGAATCAAAAATATTCAGTTTTTCTTGATTTTTTTAGAAAAATTAAGAAAAAACTTTACAGTATTACCAGAGGAAGACAAATGCGCCGAGATAGTGCCAGCATACGTACTGCTTTCAGCATCACCCTGACTTCGTATACCACAGCAAAGCCAATCGACAGCTCGTGAAAACGCCGTCGTGTTACTCCTATCAATTTTAAATCCGTTTCAATAAATTCAATTTTAAAAAACTGCTAAGACACGAAGCCAAGTATACCATTACAGGACGTATTATGCAAATAAAAATAAGTAAATAAATGATTTCATGCGTTTGACGCCTTATGTTTTGTCACTGCTTAATTTGTTGGAAATAAGAGATTCAAAAGAAAAAACATTTTCGTTTCAAATTTGAGAATTCTTCAAAACAACGAGTGTATATTTTCCTGCTAAACACTTATATATTAAAGCATAGGCAAAACACCTAATACTCCAATGGAACAATAAAATGACGAAAAATAAAATGTATAACAACTCCTTCCCCACCCCTATTCCATCTTAATGGAAAAGAATTTCAAAAGAATGCGCTTCATGATTTGCATATTCGCTCATCTGTTGTTTATACTGCTTATACTTTCTGAATATCGAGGTTTCAATGCTGTCATGAATACGTGGTGCATTCAACATCCGGAATTCAAAACTTCGAAAATTTCTAACAGAAATAAATGGAATGTTGGAATATGAAAACGAGACATTCAACGGAGGGAGCAAACTGAAAACGAAGAAAATGTACTTCGATGCCTCATATGGTCAGATTACAAAGAAGACAAAATTAATCGGCGCCGAGCGCAATTTTGAGCTTGAAATTCGAGTAAGAAAAATAACCAGCTATAATTGTACCGGCTGCGAAGATTTATACTCTTTGAACGAATTTCAGTCGAATTAGTAATATGGAAAATGGGACAATTTGTCATATGACAGGAGATGGTGTTGAAAAAGAAGGCAAGCAATTAGCGATACTGTTCACATCCGGAAATAATTAAAATCTATTATCTATAATCAAGATAAGTATCCTCATTCAAGGGAATAATGAACAATTAACAAAAATTCTGAACGCACAGAAACATATAAAAAAAATTTCTTGGAGGGAAAAAGTTCCTTTTCTCGTCCTTTTTGAAAAAGTTGTCAAGTGATTAACCTGATTTTGTCAACTAGATTTCAATTTTCTTTATTTTAGTAGCTGCCTTGATGAAAACGCTTTCTCTATTACTATGTGCAACAACATTATAATGAAATTAAAAAGTATTCAAAGCAACAGTTAAATTGGAGAAGTTAAATGGAACTCGTAAGTTAATGACAAGGAACAGAAAGTCAGAACTGTTCAGTAAAGAGATATGGAAGTCTAAAGGGAATGTAAAGAACTTTTACCGGTGTAATATTATAATATATGACTATTACAAGACGTGACAGTTTCACATTGGTAAGATGTTCCTCTTTTTTCTTCTTATCGAACTTTCTAGACGTGTCGAATAGAATGAGCATGTAGCATGATTTGTCCAACAATGTGTTATTTCAAAGAGCGAACAGATGTGCATGTATATCTTGGACTTGAACTTCTCCTTTTTACGGGCACTAGTCATCCAGGCCAACGTGACGTAATAAACATTGAGGGAAAGGCAAAAAATGAAAAACAAGCAGCAGAACAAGCGCCATACAGTGAAATACTGCTTCTTACCATATATAAAAAGGTGCGGTATTTAGAATTAACTGATGAGGGAGAATAACGAGAAATGTGGTTTGCGATGTTCTTATTTCTTTTAATCAATACTTTTCTCTCTCCAGCATCCTCTCACCAGCGTTCTTTATATCCTAAAAGTTTGTATTTCCGAAGCTTTCCGTTTCATAAAACCTTGCTAAAAGGAACAACAAAGGAAGAATTTAGCTTCAAATATTAAACTTTCTCATTAACACAGTCTGGTACGTTCCGGAACATAAAATTTGCTTTCATTAGATATCGAGATGTATGAGGCATGAAAAACGGCACTAGAATAAAATGAAGTTTTATTAAACATTATGCATTCAAGTATATATGTATAGAAATTTTGAGTTTTGTTGAAAGAAGCACAAGAGAATATCAATGTAATACATCACCATGTATGAGTTCGCCGTATCTTCCGCTTCTTTCACTTTTTTTCAATCAACATTGGACAAGAAGGAAATGTGCATAAACACAGAAAAGAAGAGAATATAAACATGAACAGGGAATTATGAGCACAATAAAAACAATAATTTGACTTTTGAATTAATCCATGAAATGAGAGCAGTAGTTGTGCAAGTGCAAGCAATTTCCAGCACACCAAAAAAGGATATAGACAATGACAAGCTGAGACTTCAGGTTAAATAAAGAGAATAAGAAGGAAAGAGTTTTTGGATTTCTGAAACGGGGAATTCAACTAGAATTACCAACTTAATATGCCTCGAAATCAATGCAGAATTTATAGTTGAAGTAAAGTAGTGCACCTCCAATAACGAAAGTCAACTGATAATGCAACACAGAGACCTGACCAGTCGTCCAATAAAATTTAAATGAATATCCTTGCTAATCTATCCAGATACAAGAGAGCCACACACAAACCTGACCTCAAGTGCAGAACAGAAATTTGTTTTCCGTAATTTTACCCACTATGGGTGTTTTCATTACTTCGCAGCTTGCATCATCTATTTCTATGCATTTTCCATTTGCCTGAACGCATTTAAAAAAATTGTCCATTAATTAATTAACAGCCATCTTTATTTTTTACTTTCAATTCTTGTGCTGTTTGGAAACAGTGACGACGGAGTCCCTTTTATTTAATTTTGGAAAGTAATGTTACTCGGTAATAGTTGAAATTCGAACTAGGTCAGTGAAGCTGTTTTCACTGGCTCAGCGTTGAATGCGGACAAAAAAAGATTAACATTGACCAACAAAATGATGGTCTAAATGTCTTGCTGACTACACAACAAATGCTGACAATGATGTTGGTGAAGAAGATGGTAACGATAATACCGAACATCATCTCCCACACTGCGTTTGTTCTCGTGCATTTATGTTTATGAAGTGTTAACTGCGCTTTCGTTAATGAAAATGAATGATGCATGCACGAAGTGCGAATTGAAAAAAAAGGAAAGTAACAAATATGCTGTAGCTGAAAATCGAAATTACGGCATCGTAAAACGGTCACTATAGAATGTCACACTGACTATGCGTTATCTTCATATGTTATAGACAACTTCAAAAGTAATCATGCCACCACTTCTTTAGAAGTCATCGATTTTTTGCACCACCGCTAATTTATTAGTGAAAATAAAAGATGAGAAGCCTATTTATTATATATACCAGTGACGAAGTGATTGATTTCGCTGATAAAATATTTAACCAAAAAAAGTTCAAATTTTTATCTTTTTTGCTCCTAATCTTCTTGAAGCCTGAGGCTGAGCCTGAAATTTCTCTCGTAAGCTCAACTGCTCATTTTCATTTGCTGAAACTAAATCAAGGAAATCTCTCAATGGATTGCAAGTAGCAGGAATAGCATCACACTTCCAATTTAAATTATTGATCCATCTAAAATACGTTGAAATGAAGGAAAACGACATTTTCAAGAAAAACATAAAATATGAATATAAATTATGAGTAAAGAAGAGAAGGAAAGGAAAGACTAGTATCTCTTATCATCCCTAACTTCAAATAAATATGATCGAAGGCTTGGTTAACCGGATATAAAGCTTTCAAGATACTTGGCAATGAACGCGCCTCCATGATGAGCCAGAATATCTGACAAGGGCAATGGATGATAAAAAAATTAGCGATGATAGGTGAACACCCGCGACACCATACTGCTGTTTGTTGTCAATGAAAATATAGATGAGATTTTCCTTCATTCTCTCACAACTAGAACTAAATATTAACAGAGTAATCATTAAAAAGTGAAGGAACTGGGAAGAGTTAAAATATGCCCTGAAGGGAAGACACAACTGCAGTATTATGTATATTTCAGTGTTAGCTATGGAAGATATGCTATTGCGTTTCATGGAACAATCAAAAAGTGAAATGAGTTGGAAATAATTACCCTGAACAAAAGAAGAGAGGGTGAATGCATAGGATAAAATACGAAGATATGGTTAACAGAAAAGCTTTTATAAAGTATAAACATGGGAAGCAAATTTTTCACGTTGAAATTATTCTTTCTCCTTTCACTCTCACTAAAAACAGGTGATTCACTAAATGACGATAGAAGAAGTAAAACCAAAAAGTATGATAATAATGCGATGGAGGTACTGAAAGGGTGAAGTTAACTGAGTGTGATGGAGTGCCTCTGAAATGTAATAATACATCAGTCGTAGGAACACCCTGCTTTCCCATATCATAACTTACCTCCACCACACACAAAAAAAAGAAAATGGTACTAAAGTAGCTTTTGCTGTAAACTACGAGATAAATTGTAACCGATATATTGGTTTAGGTTCTCCAGTTGAAAGGATAAGATCCGGATGAGTAGAGTAATTCTCCTTTTCCCTTCCCAAGTCAACACAAAAAGCCAGCCTCCTCTTTGCAGCGCCAGCGAAAAGTTTTTTCCCTCTCTCTCTTTCTCTCTCTCTCTCAAGTCCCTGAAAATACTCAAAATATGACTTATAGATTACAGGCAATTGGAAAACATGACTTAATTACCAGTTAACTTATGCATGCATTAACTGATAATTAACTCTCCTTTTTTGCAAACCATTCATAACTCTCCTTTTTTGCAAACCATTCATCATCGATTCCATCCATACACTCAACATTCTCCATCCCTCCATCACTCCCTTCCATAAAGCCCACTGCGACTCAGCAATACACAGAATCAATTTGATGGCAATTTCTTAACCTTATCTAATGATTTGTCACTTCTTATCAGCTTCCAATTTACTGCCTATTTGCTCAATAAAACCAGCAATACGATAAATTCTATACGTCTAATTCAAAAACTGCAGTTCATTTACACTGGATGACATTATGCTAATAAATACAGTGCCTATCCAAACCATTTTGTTATGCACATCTGAATCACCAAACTCTTGAGCATGTTATACAATATATGGGAAATGATTCTCAGGAGAACCAAAACCCATTTGCAATATTTATCGCTATCATTTTAAAAAACCTTTTATAAATAATACCTTGAAAATATTTCGGTGTCACATTATTTTTATTTCTATGCAGTAAAGAGGCAAAAACCTATGTACTAATCTTGATATTTCGTAAACATACACTAGTAGTAAGCAGGAATTTGCATAATGATACTGCTAAGAAGTGGCCGATTTCCTCGCACATTAAAATGTCATACTTTTATAGAAATCAAACAGAATGCGGAAAACTAAGTTCTATCTTTTCAAGGTATTGTTTCCTTGAAATTGAAGTAAGTAATCATTTATACTAAAAATTTACAAACGAAATTTCAGATCTTTGCAACATTGGCGATGGTACACTCATTTGGAAAATACGCAAAACTAATGCAGCAACTACCAGCTGTTGAAAATATTGCTGCAGTGCCTAACGTTTTGCATCAGTAGAATAAAATTCACGAGTTTTTTAACAGCACTTAAAACAATGTGAGCAACTGATGGGTTTATGTCCAACAGACAACTATAAAAATCAATATCAGATGCTGGAGAAGTGAGCTGGAAATTAATTTCTATAAAAGTGGATTAAACTGTCAGTCTGTCTTCCTCTTAATTTCACATCAATAATATCTTTCTATGAGCGAAATTCCAAGAAAGTGTGCTCTGAGCACTAATTAATGCATGATCAGTAATGAACTACTTTAGCTTATTTTTATTTGAGTCAAGTAGAAGCTGACGTATTTCCCTGTTTGTAAAGATTTTTTTTTCCCAAAAAATGTGTCATAATCGTATAGTCTAAAAATTGCAATTAACATATTTGATCTTCGAAGTGTGACAAGAAGCCAGACGCAATCAGTCTTATCATTTTACTGTGTGGTTATCATGGAGTACTCCTATAAAGCACTGGTTAATGATAATTTTGATGCGAATGAAAAGCTTGAAAGGTGTTTATTGCAAGAATCATAGGAATATATGGGTATACGAGCAATTAAATAGATATAAAAATGTCTGCCGGTTCTGAAAACAAGTATTTCATCACTGGTCAGCGGTAAGAGTTGGCTTAAGAGAACAGTGCGGAGATGTGAAAGATTAATTCAAAAGAACTTCATTGTCTTTCTATCCACTTCGCTTCCTAAAAAACAGAAAAAAAAATGTTAGTTCCAACGCTCAACAAGATAATTTTCTCATATGTTTGCTTTCAAGGTACTGATGAGGGCAGAAGCCAGTTGCTCTTGAAATATGAGCAAGCATAATACACCAGTTTTCAAACTATCTTTTGCAGTTATTTTGGTTTAGTATAAACTATACAAGGGTGCTACTTTAGAACAATATGAAGTTAAGTGAAAGAAATTCGGTTCGAATACGTCAAAGAGAACAAATATCATGGCTATGGTTATAAAAAAGTGTTAATTTTCAAAATCTCTTCTGCTTCACCAATATTTCCATCGTAGGCCGCATGGAACGATATATAATTAGAATAAAAAAAATGAAAAATGCTTTTTATTCCAGATATTTAGCTGTATAGCGGTATGAAGACGAGGAGATGAAAATTAGCGAACCGTTTTCCATTAACATCGTGATATTTGGATCAAACATAATTCCTGCTACTCTGAATGTTTCTATTTGGAGAGTCGTGGGTTATTTCTATTTTTATAGGCTTTTATGTCGGCTTACTTTAATGGCAACAGAAAATGAAATTCATATTTGCTCACATTCAAATTTCAACGAAATTTTTGCGGAAAAAATGAACGTGTATTAGCTTGAATCACAATAACAGAGAATTAACATGAATCAGGGTGGTGGAACTGTAAATATTTTATGAGATACATAATAGATTTAATAAAGATTTAGTTCACTGCTTTCTGATTCCCGAATTAATGGAGTTAAAATATTCCCGCAATGGTAACACCTATCACAGGAATTACAGAGAATGAGGTTACTATTATTATATTACATCGGATGTCAAGAAACACTAAAAAACCTCAACAGAACACCACATGATAGAATGAGCTAAATATATAAAAAACAAAAGCAAAGGAAGACTGTCGCACCTAAATTATAATTATTCGTTTTCCATTAGGAAGTGACACAGTTGCGTTAGCATTCCTCAATATTTCATCTTTCACTATAATGAATGAAAAAGCTATGACAGAGATGGATGGAATTCGCAACTGGTGGGATGATGCAGACCATATCCAGTTCGTTCATCTAATAGGGTAAATGAGACTCCTCGGAAGTATCCAGTTCTTTAATGTAATAGTTGCACGTCGGATGGGTCCTTCCGGAATAGGTGAACGATGTTCGCACTGAATTCTCAGTGGAGATAGCTCTTTGAAATCAATACGAACGAATGACCTACTTGAGTCTAAAAACGCATGAACAGAACCCCTTGACAGTCAAAGTACATTGTACCCATCAAAGAAACCAACCCAACAATCGTAATTATTATCGAAAAGAGGACAAAATGGGGGATGGAAGCAACGTCCGACAGCGTCCCACAAACATGCACAATTACTGACAAAGAAATAAACATACCATGCCCACATCTACTAATGCTAACAAGACAATGAACAAAATCCTACTCTGAAAACAATCAGAGACCACACGATGGAACTCTAGAGCTTCACCACAGTTTAAGTCAATGAAATCGCAACAGCCAGCAATAAAAATAATGTAACAATCGACTGCAATATCTACCCACAGACCCCAATTCCGGGGTGAATTATCTGTTCCCCAACGATTACTCCTCAGACGGGGAATCTATCACCATACACATATCGTATGCGTTGGATCTAATGTCATCATGTGGAGTAATACGTTGCAGTGGAGGAAGCATCAAAAGATAATCCAGCTGATTAAAGTAGATGGTTCACTAATATTCTCTTTCCATTGGGAAGCTAGACGATGAGAGAAATTCACTACAACACTGCTAAGAAAACTTCACACAAGAAATGTTCCAAATGTGTACTGGTGACCCTCCACTCTTCATCTACACACTTCAGGTGTTCTGTCTCGTTACAACGTTCACTTTGAAATGAATAGCTTGAGATCAATCCAACGAAAAGAACAGTATTAGCAGAATATTTTGTAAAAGCGAAAATTGAAGCATTATTTGTTCCATTCATTCTCCCTCACAATAAGCTCAGAGAGTTTGCATAGGTATGCTTTCATGTATATTTTAACAACTGGATTGAAGGATCTAAAAGTAAACAGCCAGAACATTACATCGTGTTTCTGGCATATAGACAAGGTTTTGAAACCAGTACCAATCTAAAAAGTCGAATCCGAGGAAACGTGGTAACATTTCGTATGAATAAGCTGAAATGTCCGAGAACATGGTGAGCTAGATCTTTATTCATTTACTTCCTTTTAGCTATGAGGTCAACAAGAATACTGTACATGAAACAAAACCTAAGAGAAATCATTTGTTTGCCTGAATAAATAAAAAAAAAAGAAATCCAGCGGAAAAGTTATTCGAAGAAATCTAAATCATCTCAAATGTGATCTTCCAGCCCTGTTTTTGACTGTTGTAATGATGCAATTTTGGAGGATTAACTGACAAAAATCTGAATACCTAAAAGTAATCTTCAAAGGTAGAAGCATTCATTAACGAATGAACACAAACATAATGACTGGAGAACATGACACGCATAAAAAGTATGTCAAGGCAGACAAAAGATACTTTAACAAACGAAACTTACTATTCCGGATGAATAAATGGTACCCATTCCTGACACAAAATTAGCGGGTAGCAAAATGTTTGCAAAAATAGTATCGAGAGAGTAGAAGCAAAATTTTGAATCTAAAAAATCCCACTAGCTGAAGAGCTTTTGGGGTAAAGTTCAACAAGAGTAAATTATACAAACGAAATTCACTGGAGCGACGCTAAGCACGAAGGGGTTCACAAGTAATTTCTCAATATTTTCACAGAGCGTTGGAATCTCTTGGCAGATACTGTAAAGAATCGTAAACGTGTGACTTCCCTTAATTTTACACTGCAAACGGTAAAATTTGAGTCTCGAAATTACTGCTTTCTGTTACCCACCCGCAATCACAGCAAAAATAATGATGAAAAACAAGTGATAACACGTCGTAAGCAGAAATATATCAATTTACTCGCGTAACTAATAACGCATATTCCGTCCCTTCCTCTCGAAATCATGAATTTAGACTGATAAAAATCACTTATATGACATTCAATGATACTAAAAAATATCGCACAGAAATCCAGCCTAAAGATCCGAAAAAGGACACATAACTATGCATTTATAGATATTTTGCCCCTAAATGAAATCAATCAATATTTTAAACGATAATCAAGAAAGATATAATCAAGAAAAAAAAAGAAAGATATAAAGACCTAAAAATGCATTCTTTCCTTGGAATCAGTATGAAAATCATGAGAAAAAGACTTTTAAAGACCTAAAAATGCATTCTTTCCTTGGAATCAGTATGAAAATCATAAGAAAAAGACTTTTTGTCAGGAAATCGTTAAATAAATCAATTCCATAACATTTCTTTATGAATCTTTTGATCAAAACAAGAAATAGGTGAGTAAAATGAAATGATACTGATTATCTTCGTTACAAAGAAACCAAACTTCGAAATCAATGCATTGAAATCACATGAGATAAAATGGCCACCAATTTATATTAGATCATAATAAGCATGAAAACAGGATAAAAAAGTGGAGGAAAGTTTGCGTGAAATACCCTTCTTCCAAGTGAGAAATAAAAAAATTATTTAAAGGAGAAAAACAATAACAATAAACATCCACAGTGAACCAAGAGAGTCACAAATAACAAAGGAGTAAATAATGTGAACTTTTTCGATAAAAAGAATTTCAGGAATGAGCAAACAAATAATATAATATATTCTCCAAGAAACTATGAATGACTATCTGCCTACGAAAGCTATTTCCCGAAACTAAATAACTTAATCAGTTTGGTTCAGTAAGTTTGGTAAACATAATCTTCTCTTCTAAATGATTTCAATAATTTCCGCCGTCAATCTTTCTCTGAATTAGCATATTCATTAATGATCTCAAACTCTGAACAACTGAAGAATATTACAACCCATTATTATTGCATAGTTGAGAAAATCGAATAATACAAAGAAATCCTATTTAAGCGCCGCCCATTTCATGAAACTTGGTACTGTCCTGCACGGTATATTTTCGCATACAGCTTTGATATTCAGTGCACGATCTTCAGTTAATAAAACAACACTTCGATAAAGTTTTGCTGGCTGTTCCACATCCACCATACGCACCAATGCTGACTGTGCTGTTGCTAAGGTGTTTGCAGGTTTAGGTCGAGTTTTCGCAAAGTTTACACAACTTGACAGAATAAAATCGTCATTCACCGCCTGGAATTTTATCTTGTTTCCATCTTGATAATCCTAATAACTTATGTGAAATTTAAAACTGAAAGCTTCCTGCACTAATATTTGAATAATCCAAGCATAAAAATGGCATGAGCAACAGGCATACTCAAAACGAGAAACTTCTGAAAAAAAAAACTTTATAAAATTGATTGTGAAAATTCATTTCACAAAAAGCTTCTTTTATTCAAACTTATCCAATTCTTAACGCCTGATTTTGTCATCTTCAATGTTATATTTTTCTGTATTCATGCGAGATTTCTTTTCCAAAAAACATTCAGCCTTCTTTTACTGTTTTTAAATATTTTTAAAACAGAAAGCAGAAAAACAATATAAGTCCAAACCTTCAATTCTCCTGAAGCGCAAGTTTCCTCCGTAGCAAACATGAGCGAAGTTAGTAGATTTCCTTTGCTGGTTATTGTATAGACTTGAGGTACTTGTTTACCAATTAAATCTTTCAGATAGGCGACTGCATCTTTCGCTCGTTCACCAACCCAATGATCTTGAAAATCTTCTTGCCCTCCAACAGTAGGTTTAGACGAAGGCGCAAGGCGTGAGAGGCTTTCTAATTCTGAGAAAACTGAAAATTCTCAACTTTTACTTTTTATGCATAAAAATAAAAAAAATGAACTTGGAATTGACAAATGCAAGATTTTTAAAAAATACCAGTTGTTGGCACCAGTACGGTGAATCGGTGACTTTCAACAATTTTTTTAATAGATGTCAAGTGATCGATAAATGTATTTGTATCGGGTACCAAATACTTCGGGCGTACTTCAATTATCATTCGATTTCCCATCGTTTCACGTTCCAGAAGTTTCTTCAAATTAGTAACTGAATGTTGAGTTTAGAAATAACTTATGATCACATCCCTTTCAAAATTAGTTTTATCGTTCACTACTTACGTGATCATATATTTCCGTTTCTTTCGAAACAAACCCTAGATTGGATGGTTAAAAGCGAATGGAAAATACAAAGGTTTTCAGCATAAAATGGAAAGTTAGTAGAACATTGGGGAAAAAGAAATTCTTGAAAAAAAAATACCTGTTTTACTTGATTTTCGCGAACAGTTTGTCTATAATGTTTGTACTCGTCGGAGAAATGACTCTACAAAGTAATACGTGTAGTATAAAAAAATATGGAGGAAAAATTTCGTAGTTATAAATAATACACGTGATTAAAGAAGGATAGAAAACGAGTGATTAAGAAAGAACTTTTTCATATTATGAAGATAAAAAATATAACTAAGTTTGCAAACTTACTAAATCTTGTTCCAGTGCTTCATGCTCAAGCTCTGAGTTATCAAACTGCTGGTCAAAATCAGTACCACATTCTCTCGTTCTTATACTTTGAACGGTAACTGGTGATGCACAACGGGTTGCAGCAAAACAACGCAAATGTTCATCGAATCCAAAGCATGGCAATCCTGAGCCATCCAAATATTCTGCTGTTGATAAAAGGGATGATAAACGAGCATGGAGGGCCAGAAGAGGTGACTGAAATTACAAATTTGTTATTGGATGAGAAAACTTCTAAGTAATATAGGGTGATGTGACTGATTTGATTGAGAAATTTCCAGTAAAATTAAGAAGCCAAAAATTCCAACAGCTAATGCTTTTAAGATGGATGAAGAACAAGTGTGGTGAAAATGGACATCTAAATTTATTTTTCACTTATCAACCATCAACGCTTTCAGTGGCTACGTCATGATTCATCCGAAAAATACTTGATAAGACAAACTTATTAACATATTTTTTAAACTGCTCTTACATTATTGCAAAGGTCGACATTTGCTAAAGATGACATTCGTAACGATTTTGGCAACACAGTAAACACATCAATAAAGGATGCCAAAAAAACTGCCTCCGGAAGCACAATTTCTACATATTCTTCCGATTTTTCTAAATGATTTAAATTCATGCGAAAGGATGTTTCACACATTTTTTTTCATGTTAAAACTAAAAACATGAAAGCAACAACAAATCATCAGGTTTTATCACACGCTCGGTCTCATCCAAAAAGTAACTGACCATCAGATTGTGCAACAGTCCTCGACAAAATTCCCTTAGATTCAGCATTCACTAAAGTATTTGCAACACCAGCAAATAATTTCCAAGTATCAACTTGTATAAGTGAAGTTTCGATGGATTCCAACGATGGCATACTTCTGTACAGACGATTTACGGAAGGCGTCGATAACCATTCAGAAATAACGAAAACAGCCGGCAGTACTCGACGCGTCTTAAGTATTATAACAACTTTAGAATATGCGTTGTATGCAATTAGAAGACAATTACTGTAATTAAATCTATTTTATAGAACAAAAAAAACCTTTGACGGCAGGCTAACAAAACCGTTCAGAACCTCTGACAAATTTGGTAGCTGGTCGTATACTGGCCTTAAAATTACCCCAAACAAACTTAGGACCATTTGTACGGCTTGTTGCTGTTGTAAGGAACAAGTGCCTGGTTCATTATCTGAAATAAACAATAAAGCGCCATGAACTGGTGCAAACTTAAGTTTTCATAATTTCAGTAAGTAATATACGACACTTCATAATTTGAGTACAATATACGATGCTTTATCAGATGAAGAACATGAAAACTGATTAAATGATACACCAAGACTTTTCCTGTTACTGTTGGCATGATTTCATAATAATCTAGCTTCGAAACAGCAGAAAAGATCTTTTTATGATATGTCTAGAGCTACACATAACACTATTACAACCTTCACGAGATGTTATAACCTCCATGCTACCAAAATCATACATAATAAGAACAAAATTTACTCATCTGCCAAAAATAAGCCTTATGGAAATTCTATGATTTTGCTTTAGGAAGCTTACTTTTCAGAGTTAAGCTATGAACAGCGTAGAGAAAAAGAGTGCATAGTTGTATGAGGTGTAAAGAAGAAAGTGGACACTCGTCACGTGATATCAGCTGTGACAGTTGAAATAATGCCCGTTCGCTGATACTGTCATATTCCTCCATTCCAATTTTAGTAATAAGAAGTCCGGCTGTGTGAAGCAAATATGGCACTGCACGGCGGAATAACTAAAAATTAATCATTTTTCTTTAGGCTATATATCCCAGTAGTTTTGACTGTTCGAATGGGTTTTTTTGCTAGTTTTTCTCTGTATTTCTTGCATATCGCATATTTATGAAACTATAAATTTACCGAGATCTATATCATTAGCAAAAAAATACTGATATAAATCCGAAATGGTTAAATTTAAACCTCAACAGTGGAAACCGATCTCAAAGCATGGATAGCTCGATTATCCGCAATATTTGCATAATCCCCAGAAGAAAGCTTTCCATCTTGTGCAATCCAGATTTCCTGTGGCCTATCAGCACGAGCGGCAGCTGCTTCCGCTTCCCGTGTTGCGCTATCACCAATGCGTGCATTGAACTCGATTTCAAATTCACTTACCTAAAAGAATGTGCAAAAGTACATAAGTAAATCTTGATCAGGTCAACCCTGATTTCTTTAACACCATGAAAGCGATGAACAGAAACTCTTTTGCTGGACAAGGACGTAAGTTAATCGCGTTGGAACGAGATAAAACAAACCTTTGTTCCAACAATACTAAATTAATTTTGTCCTGCAAAGATAAGTGAACATTATCCTTCCTTAGTCCAATAGTTTCAATCATGTCCATCATGATATCAGTAAACTGAGCCAAAATTTATATAAACTGTAATCAATAGAACTGCCGACAAAATCCGTATGGACAAAACTTTCATTCAAATCATTTCGGGTAAGAGAAATAAATCAACCGGATGAATCTTATCCCCTTACACATCCCTAATAAATGGCTTACCTCTGAATCATTATCTGATCACTGCAGTAAACTATTTCTTCAAAAAACTTCATCTCTCAATTAGTCCGGAACAAAGCGGAAGTGTTATGATCACCAAAATTTGTTTAAAAAAAGTAAAAGAAAAGGACACTGCAGAGTTTACAGAGTTTTGTACAAGATATTTTACTAGTTCATCTATCTCAAACATACTTTCTTTTGAACATGATTGAAAGCGGTGAAAAGTGGCTGTCGCGCAGTTTCAAATGGATAGCGCGCTGCCAGAGCTCGAACATAATAGAATATTACATCGATCCATTTTGACTTGAAAAGAGAATCTATTCATACTTTTTTGAAATTTCCTTGAATCATATGATAGAACAGTAATGCACTGGCAAATGTCAAAAAAAATTAGAGGTAAGTTATGCAACAGCAAGTTATGAGAACCTGTGCAAATTACAAAATGAGTTTTTAACAATGATAAAAAACCATCAAAAAAATCACTGATAGTAATCCCAGTAGGAAAACTTCTTAAATGGTAATTCGGTACACCAACAGATTAATCAATTAGTTACAAAGCCAGCATAAAATTCCTGACAGCTATTTAAGAATTTAAATACAATTATTAGATTTGTGGATTAATAGACCTCGTAGACAGCAAGTAGAGCCAACTGATTATAAGAACGCCCATTCCCTGCAGCCAACTGTGCTGCTTTCTGATACCATCTAAAAATCCAACAGATCAATTTTTCGAAAAGACATCAATAATGCAGCTAATAATAGCAGACAGAACGTTGAAGCAAAAATATCAGAAAATTTATTTGAGCAAATTAAACTATAATTAGTTTTTAACCCATAATTACTAAACTTTTGTAGAGAATAGACACTGAGGACTGTAGCATACATTTTGGTTATGTTTTACAATACAGACCTTGAATAAAAAAACGAAAGACAGAAACTTACAATCTTGCACATGAATAATCTTTAACACCTGAAACCATGATGCCGTAACGGTGCAAATCACCAATTGAAACTGCTAGTCTTTGGATAGATAACAGTGCCACCTGAGAATGCAGACCATTTTTCTTCAACTGCATAGAATTTCGAAAGAGAAAATGCATCACTTAGGGCAGCAAAACTGTATGGATCCGGCACATCCTCACTACTGGTTTGAACGAATGACATTTTCGTTGAGACTAATGAAAAAGACCTTACCAATGGACGTACTTCGCACTATTTATTTATAGTCTTTGATTTTTTGCTCTTTCTCAATGATCAGCTATTCGTCTTAATCACGGATAATCAGTAGCTATTAAATACTTATAACTAATAAATAATATTTAATAAACTCAATGCTTAGATGATATGGTACTAACTACAAGTTTCTGTTTGTTATCTTGAAAAAAGCCACGAAACACATTGATTCAGAGACTAACAATAAAAACGGAAACAAAAAAAAAAATTAACGAACCATTAGGTTAAACTGAAAAAACATTAACCTTAATGATATGATCCGTTGCTTCATGAGCTCCAGAACTAGTCAGTATACATCCAACGAAATCATCAGATGGTAGAGCTGACGGCCAGTACAAATAATCGTCAATAATAAAACCAAATGTTACTTCATACTTATTTAACAGCACTGCATAAAAAGCTAGACCCTGTCAAAAATAACTCTTTCAAAAACATCCATCTTGTTTCAAATAGAAACTGGAATCGGTGAATTTTTACAGACCTACAATTTTCTTCATTTTGTGTACATCCTAAACTACTGCCATGTTTCTGCGTTGATCTTCTGTTTGTTTTATCTGCTTAACAATTTTGGAAGATGGAAAATAAAAAACCTCCAGGTCGAGAAATATGCGCTCAAATCGAGAAATATGATGGATCGACCTATATTCAACCTTACCAATCTTTATCTTCAGAATGTTGTCGATGCTTGCAGTTTTCACTTCATGAATGGCTTAAGTGGTTCCCCATGCTTCAATTTCAAATAAAACCTCTGATTCCAGATCACATGACAGCTGCAGATGGTGAGCAAGACAGTTGCACACCAGAGCATTAACATACATACTCCGCCAATAGTTAGTAGGCAAATACTGCTTATCTTATATTTATTCATAAAAACTTCGCTGCAGAAAAAAAGTCTATTTTTCAGAAATAAATTGAAAAATTTGAAACCTGTTGGATAAGTTTCGATAAACCTGTGCGAAAAATGTGAGAGGAATTTTCCGTCGAATTACTTGCAGCGCGCAGAGCTTCTATGGACGTATAAAAGCACTGTTTCCATAAATGTTGCTCCAGATTCATTGTGTAAGTATAATTGATATTTCTTGTCACAATTGATAAATAAAGTTTCGATAATAAGTTACTAGAATAATTTAGTTATGATTATTTAGATGTGATTACAGCAGAAATAGTCTCATTTAAAATCCTTACCCTTCTAAAGAAGGAATTCTTTGGATCTCGGTAAACTTGACCATTTGTAAATTCTACTTCTCACTACCTATTTACTTTATAATGCTCACTGTATTAATATCAACCAAATGACAACCGTAAATTTTAAGAAAAAAAAAAAAAAAAACAAACAAGATCTCTTTAACATTTGTTATCAGATAGCACTACAAATTTGATACTTGTTCTGATACTGACAGATTCCGATCCATTACTTTATATCTTTTACACTGCATCTATATCATAATAGTAAAAACTCTTTTTTCGCCAATGCAGGAAGTCAAGAAAAATTTAACCTGGCCACCAAGATTTCATCACCAGCACTTGAATCCGCAGATTCTGTTATTCGATTAATCAAGTGATTGATTGTGTCATTCAAAGCTTGAATTTGCGGGCCTTCTTTGCGTGAAATTTCCAAATGTATTGGCCATTCCGTAGGTGGTAGCTCTCTTCGAAATCTATTACTTTTTGTCTTTCTAAACGATGATTCTGAAATATAACGGTTTTTAGTGCTTCTAAAGTATTATGCACTTAGGCTTTAAAGGTCAATTAAAAGATGAAAATTCACCCAACTGGGCCGCTAACAAAACATATTAGGAATTTGTAGTTTTTTGGAAATGTGATTTTCTTCCAACAAATAATACATAACTCACCAGTTGAAACTTCGGCCCGGAAAACTACTGATCCATTAGACGGTGATGATACATCAGAGTGTTTCTGTTCCTCTCGAGGATTTCTCAGTGCAACAGTTTTCAGTCCACTAATACTCTTGATTGTTGTGGTCGAGGTTGTTTTCAGGAAATTAGATGCTGAGGCACTACAAAGAATCATTAGGAGCTAAATACTGAAATTATAAATCAGAATGAATCATCAGTTATTCAACAAGCTATCAGTTGAAATTATCAACAACGGCATCTTTACATAAAATTATTAGCATACCTCAAATCGTCATCTCTGTTACCACTGCGCGTATTATTCTGAGTATACTGTGAAACCGCAGAAATACAGCCACTCACAGCTACTTCCGTTTCGTCTGGATTGTGCTGTTTCCTGAAGCAATGCAAGATAGAACTCTAGCATTCAGGTATTCTATTATGAAGCTATCAAATTTTTACATAAACAAGATTATCATAATTAAAAAGTTGAAGAAGCTAAAGACTATGTCACAAATGAATAAGTGAATAAACATTACTGGACTGAAAATACTTTAATCCTTTCTTTTCACCTTACCAATCATTACAAACTGACCTCATTCTCCATCGATTTCCGCGTTTATTTCGTCCTCTACTGTCATGCCCACCTCGATATGTGTAATTTGTACTCGGATCACCAAATTTGCGAACTAAAATAAAAACAAAAATAAACTCACTGACAATCTACTGAAATTTTCTACTAAGTTTTGCGGATATTGAAAAATTTTGTGTAAATACAAATAGGGATGTATTTTCACACGGATTGAAAAAAAAAAAAAAACCTTCGTTAATAAATGGAACTTCCACATCTAGATAATGCCTCTCTCCTTTCTTTTCGTTGATCTGACTGGAAAAAACTGATGTCATCTCTCGATGGTCAGTAGTTGGTGTTATTTCACCACTACCACCTTCCATGTCACTTTGTTCTTCGATACTTTCGGCAATACTTGATGTTTGACTTGTAAAACTATCTTAAAAAATAATTTGCGTTTTAAAAAGCTGCCTTGATAAAAAGCAAAGAAAAGGAGTCGATGAATGGCTTTTACACGTGTAAATAAGCCTCCTGAAGATGAGTGTAAAATTCTAAAAGAAAAGGGGAATCACCATTTCTTTGTCTTCGTGGATTATTAGTAAAACGACGCCCACGTCCGAATGACGGTTCCTTAGCATTTCTAGAGTGTAAGTGACCAGAAACATTGCTATCACTGACACCTCCTGAACGATTTCGGAACTTAGAAAAAGAAGTGAGATCACGCCCAGATCTTTTATTCTGCGAACTGGAAGGGTTTGTTTGCAGTGGTTGTTCTTCAACCACATGTTTTTGTTTCTCCCTTTCCTTCTGAAAAATACAATAACATTTCAATTTCAAATCGTTGTCTAATTCCCATTTTTTGAATTATTTATAATGAATAACGTGTCAGCAAAAATTTTAACCGTTTGGAAAAGTTACTTTAATAAACATCATCGATAAAGAAACTTATTTTAAAAAAAAAAATTACCTTACGCCGTTCTTCAGCTTCCACTTCCGAACTCCAGTCAAATGAAGTCAAGTCAATCGAATCAAGACTGGCACATAAATCCTGAAAGAAAATCAACTAAATTATGCTAATTTTGCTTTTGCAAAATGAATTTAAAACTACTCTTATATTTCTAATGGGAAAAAAGCAATTTATTTCATTTTATTTCTAAGAAGAAGCCCGAAATAATAAAATATCAAAAGGAAAACTGTTATAAAAATATACATGGAAATGATATGAACAGAGAGAAGACGCTAAACTAAACGGAACTTCACCTATATGGAAAGTGGATTATTTTCTAGATAACTCATATTTTCCAACGGCACAGTAACCAATGATGAAGTTCCAGCTCCACATTTAGCTTTGTTTTAGAAAATAAAGACAAAAAAAAAGAACAAGAAAAAACAAAAAAAAAAAGACTTTTTGAATCGACCCTGAAAATGACTTTTAGTAGGGTAAAGAATAAAGGTAAACATGAGAATGAAGGTTATTCATTCTTTTGCCGTACTAAAGAGTTCCAAATAGAAGTATAACCAACATCAAATAACAAAAATTTAATCTTCTTGAACTTCAACAAATTTAACACTTTGAAATGAGTGGAAAACTGTCAGAAAACCTGGAAAGATATATGCTTTGATGCTGCTCCAGACTTCTTCGTCAAACTTTCCTTCCTTTCAGCATCCTGAAGAAATCGGAAGCTTAATCAAATGAATAGTATGATATTATGCTCAGGCTACTTCTTGTATGCCACGTGCAAATAATTTGATATATTCAGTGGTTCAATCACGTGCAATTTGATTCTTTTGTTCATTTTCCTTGCACAAGTGAAAGATTAAGAGAAGTTTCTATTTGTCGAGCTAATCTATCCACCCATCTATCTCTACCTATCTATATGTATATAATTACAGGCAACAACAAAAAGTTTAGTTTTTCAGACTATCTCCAATTCTTTCAAATTCAGCTGACTTAAAGGATTAGATAGAAATAAGTTTCAGTGTATGTTTTTTCAATGCTTTATACAGATTTAGCACATGCTATGTAACATGAAGCAAAAATGTGCAAAAGGAAACTAGCATTTCCGAAGACACGAAATAAGTACTCTACATAAAATTTATTTAACCGATTTAACAGTCACATGAAACAAACCTGATCATTATCCTGTGACATATTACTAACTCGGCCAACGCGACCAGCTTTGCTGTTTCGATGACGGGGACGAACGAAATCTTCCGACTGATTGCTTCTAAAAGACCAATTTCGCTGACGATTGAGTGGACTGCGACGTTCAAAGCTTGTTCGGCTTAGATCATTGCCATCAGCGCACATTAATCTCTAAATGAGTGAAATTTAAGAATAAAGAACAGGAATAAACGAAGACAACAGAAAATAAGGTAATTCCTCAAATATCTTTATTTTAGATTCCAAACTGAAGAATACGCTGGTGACTCCAGAAAATACATATTACACAATGTCGCAAACTCTTTCCTTCGAATATTTTATCACCGTGCACTGGTCAAAAAGCTATAAAATACATCGCTGATCGTCACGATAAAATCGAATGCCAGGCCAGGCTCATTCAAATGAATCTTCATCATATTTCCGTAGTATATATTTCCAAGTGATAATAGTCTCTATATTTTGCAGCAATTTCCTTTTTCCTATCATTATGTAGTCCTTCATACAAATTTGCCATTTGCTGATACGAAATGTAAGCGCTTTTTCCAAATTAGGTCGACACGTATGTATAAACTCAAACTATTATGTGTCACTCTTTATCAAAATGTGATTATCCTGTTTTCTAATGTTTTGATTTTCTGAGTGTCACATGGCACTTATTTCGTTCTGTACGTACAATTATTTTATTGATTAAAGATTTGAGTTTCTAATATTATTTCTAAGTATACTGAACTTCCACAACTTGGCCTTTTCTATACGGCACGAGGAACTGCATGCAATAAAAAAGAAACAGGAAAAGAAAAACAAAGTTTCCAGAATGTTCTAGACTTACTTCATTAAAACCATGACGGAATGGCAAAGTACGATTTTTGTTTAGGTTACGCCTCCCATCTCCACTACAGTAACCACTGCCTCGTTGCGAATGATACTGCTGTTGATGACAACGATTTGTTGCTGGTGATAAATAGCGTTCCTCCCGACAGATGCTGCTATTATTCTGGAAAAGTCAAACAAATTCCGCACAATGAACTTGATTTCAAGTAACATTTCTCGTGAAATGTCAGTTAAAATTTTCCATACTCTCTAAATATGATGAGGAAAAAATGTATAAGGATATAGCATGAGAACAGCCGGAAAAAAGCAAATGACAAATTTATTTTCAACAATGCATGAAACATCGCTCTATTCTAGCTTTTTTTTTTCCATAATTTTTCTAAAATATTGGAGCGCAGGTGTAAACTTGCATACCCAAAAACAAATTTTTAAAGGAAAAAAGTAACAAAATAGTGAAGAAAAATGAACGAATGTCCCAATTTTACCAAAAGCTGAAGAAGTGCATGACCATTAAGAAGTGTGTTTTAAACATAATGTTTTTTCAACATCTGTAAAATGAAATTCATTAAAAATTAAAGCAATATAAATACAAAAACTATTGTCCAAAGCGATAAGATGATTTTAAGGAGCTAGGAAATGCAAGGAATTCAATCTCGAATTCAAAGGTCGAGGGACTAAGACCAATTTAAAAATTAAAAAAATACTAACACCTGAAGAAGTTGAATTTAAACCGAACGTTTCCTTTTGATTCCTTGAAAATATTTTGGTTTCAAATCGTAAACTGGCAGGACCGTTATAATGATGCACATCATTATATGTAGAGCAGCTTTCGCAAAGTGATTGAGAACTCTAAAATATATCACATATATCAGTAAATAAAACTGCTTTTTGCAAAATAACACAAAAAACTGTTACCATATATTTATCAGCACACAAATAACAGAAGAAATGTGAGTTACTAAGATCGTCCCAGACAACTCTAGAAATTGATCAATGCTGTCACAGTAGTTCAAATGAACTAAAAACTAGAATTCTCAAAACTGATTTTTGAAATAGTTAAATTCAGAAATTAAAGTCTAACTTAAGCTCCATTTTAATACATGATAAGGAAAGAAAAAGTACTAATGCGAATTTAAATACTCATGTAGATGAAAGTAAAAATAGGAAGAAAAAACATACATAACAGTTATAAGAACTAGAATACATTCGTCTGCCAGGTCTTCTTTTTGGTGAGCCGAAACTGTCTGCAAGATCATCGGACGATATGTTAATGCTGTTGCTGTTTTTTCGCAGTGATTCGCTGGAATTCATTTCCACTTCGTACGTACCACCATTTGATGAACAGTTGCTGCTGTGTTGCCGATTACCAACACAAGAATCCAAATTAGCGTAGTCTAAAAAAGTTCGAAACTGCCACCGACTACTGATATCGTAAAAATAAAACAAAGTGAATTCAATAAGTACTCCCCTAAGTATAATTTTCAAATTGCAGTAGAAAGCATCGATACTTTTTTAAGCACAGTCTTCAACATAGCTACTTCAGTTGTGTTTAAAGGTTGCACATACACGACAAATGTATTGGTGCTTTTTTTTTCTTTCGCGTAGAAACAGTATTGTCAAAAGTTATTGGGAGAAACGGTGTTGCGATAAAAAACATAAATACATCTATTTTGCACTCACAATTGGGGGTTCAATAAAGAACAGCATAAAAAAACTTTTTCTCCTTCAATGTTTGATAAATTCCAATATTCTTTTTTGTCTATCAGCAATGTTTACATCTTAACTCAAAAATAAGGAGAAGAAAGGAAGTAAACTGATGGACTGAAGTAAATTAAAGTGAAGCGAAAGGCAAAAAAAGTAAAAACACAGCAAAAGATAGAAAAAAAGAAATGAAAGACACAGCAGAAAGTAGAAGAAAAATGAAAAACATTAACAGCAACAAACAGCACAAATGAGATCTAACATGACTATGAACAGAAATAACCTGAATTACGGCTAAATTCACATAAAATTTGAAAATTCAATGATTACCATTGCTCGTAAGAATATAGTGGCGTTCATCGTCATCATGCTCTTTCCATAACGTATCGCTAATAAATTCTCGACCATGTGTTTGATTTCTCCAATTTCCCTTCTTTTTATCATTTTCCTTGCCATTTTTGGAACCTAGAAATATTTTTTGTCACTTGTCTTTGAGTAGTAAAGTAATTTATTAAAGTTCGGACGAAGCTTCTTAGTTTCCGTGCAATTGTGCCCAATTCCAGAGCAGTCCTCTGGTTTTACCCTCTCTTGCATATAATAGTGATGAGCAGGCACAGCCCTTCACTTAAGATGAACTTTTCCTCAATTAAAATCTCGTGACGGAATTTATTTAATTGTGCACTCTAATTTAGAATTCAACTTGACGTCACCAAACAAGTAAAAAAAGAGTACAGTTAAGAAAAAGAGTCATTTATACTATCATTTAGTGATATAAAAGTTAGAGAAAGTACATCCAGAAAGTATATCCATATTCGAGCAATTTAAGCTACTCCGAATATGAAATAAACAAAAATACAGCGAACGAATTGCTCAAATTGATTCCATTTATCAAAATTATTTCTTTTCCCATTTCTTTTAATGCTATTTGAAATCATTTAACATTAGTAAAAATGGGAAATTTATTAGCAAATTTTTGTTGAAACTTATCTCATTATCAGCTGGCTGCTATTACACTAATTTGAACAGAATGAGATATTCTACTCACTTCAGATCCCATCAGGATTTTTCATATTAAAGGTTAAAACTTCAAATTTGCAAAAATCTACCTTTCACAATATTCACTGAGTTCACTTGCTGTTTGATATTTGCATTCTGTTCTTTAGCATCTATGTTCTTCCCAACTGCAGCGGTTCTTAGCATTCTGGGACAGTACAGCTGCATGGTAGGGCGAGCCTTACGTGCGCTACCATTCCGCGTTATATTTGACGAACCCTCCGACATTTGCCCATTAAGCAAGTAGCAATAAAAATTTTATTCCCTTAAAAACCAAAGGCATAAGACATTTTCATTCAACATGAAAACTAAACCTCAAATTTGCAAATATAAATCTTTGAAGATTTTGAAAATCCAGAAATTTCCAGGGTTGCAGCTCAGACTGCCAGTAAAAGTGTTGAAAACTGCCCTCCCTACGATATTATTACCGCAGCATACTTTTTGACTTGGTGGCTCTAATTAATTTCTTACTATAATAGCTATTACGAATACTACGATTAATTTTTGAATATGCAACTATCAAACTCGATAACACAGCTGCGACTTTTGACGATTATGTCACACTGAAAAGTAAAGATTCACATGAAAAAAGATGAACGATGTGTAAGTAAATCAAATCGTAACATAAAACAATATATAAATACAAGAAAACTAGAAATGTCTGCCAATTTCTATTGGCATAGAGACTACAATCTTTATATGAAGATATTCGAACCAACCCCTGCTAAACAACTAGCTGATAACTCCGCACTAAATAAGAAGGTACTTGAATCAACTTTCGCTGAATACCAATCCTACTATTTCTCGGTGCACTCTATATATTATGGATGATTTATAACAGACCCATCTCAGAGGTAAAAAAGTATTAGCCAACTTATGGCTTTCATGTGAGAGATCACAAGCTTCACATGACAAGTAAAAAAGTATTAGTCAACTTATGGCTTTCATGTGGAGAGATCACAAGCTTCACATGACAAGTAAAAAAGTATTAGCCAACTTATGGCTTTCATGTGGAGAGATCACAAGCACCACATGACAACCAAACTCCTGAAGACCAAACGAAGCGTAGCCAAATTCTAGCAGCTTAGGTTAGCTTTCTTATTACCGGAAATACGTCCACACCTCCCCAGTCCATACCTCCCAACCAATAAGCCTCCACCGGAATGACCCCCCTGCCCAACCTACACTCCGACCCGTTTTATCAAGAAAACGAATGAAATTGTTAAATCTCTTCCACGTCAACTGTCACTGAAATTTCTTCTGCTGCTGTTTTGTGGTGTATTATAAGTGGCTTTACCATCGCTGATCGGGCACTGGATAGGCAACAATGGAAGCGAATAGTTTAGAGTATAAGGCTTGGGCAGGTGATGAGTTCAAACCTAATTTCATTCGTTTTGTGATACCTGGCAAGTTTCCTTATTACACAAGGAAGCACAGTTGTATCTCCAAATTGGATGAAACTTAAACGATCGGAAGCTGATTGGTATATGCCGTTCAGATTCAAAAGAGGAAGCGAATTGACTGCTGATTTGTTTACTATCAGCAAATGTTCAGCATTTGAATTCAAATGTTCTACTCTTGCTATGAAGTGATGTGCTTTAGGCTGAAAAATGAGTTCGTGAACACCTTCAATATCATTCCAGATCTTTATCTCATCATGCTTGAAAACTCAGTTCGGAAAGAGAAGATCTGTCATTCCTCTTCCTTTCGCAGACAAACATTAATACCATTAAGATATGTTTCTAGTTTTAAAATAATATAACCAAGCGAAGGCAAGATTTTTTTAGAAAGTATTACCAATAATTAATGATTAAATTCATAGCAAAGATAAAATCAATGCAAATATACAGTTTCTAAAAGATTCTGCTCATGATATTAGATTATAAGCAAACTACAAGCAAGGAAAGTCTCTAGCTGTCAGAGCAAATATTGTACTTCAAAAATGTGCTAGGTATGTTCTTAGGCCGAGAAGGATTTGCCTTTCTAATTTTTCGTGCTTCTCCTTTCTTTTCCAGCACGTTTTTTCAAAAAACTTGTGAAAGATCCCGCAACATTTAGAGCTTGGTATTATTGAAAGATTAATACAAAATAGAAAAATAAATTGAAAACAAAATATTTCCCAAATGAGTAGTCATAATATTATACAGTTGAAAACAAAAAAATAATTCAGCAAAACGTTCCAATCAATAAATAGAAAATTGGGAACCGCAAATGAAGAAACCGGTTCCACCAAAGGTTTTAAACGCCGAAAATGGAAAAATATTAGAGCAAAAATTGTGAAAAACGGTGGAAACATCATAAAACATCAAATTTCTCCATTACAGTAGTACTCACAAATAAAAAACCACTACAAGATATCACTTTCAGGATGAATGCAATCATTTATAAAAACAAATGATGCAAACCGAAAAAATGCTTAATAGAAAACCGAAAAAGTTATGAATGAACAAGATATGCGTTATATATTTTTTGAGAGACATATAGTTGAGTTGAAATCACCAGAAATTAAACATAAGACTTTGAACTTCATTCTTTCCCGTCTCTACCATTACTCCTTTCTCTTCCTTTGCTTTTTATCTTTTGTATGTTAAGTTTGTGTCTGCATGCCACTACTGTTGGCACGATGAGCATTAGTAAATAAAATGGATATAAAAAACATACTGAGAAAGGTGAGTAACAATAAAGAAAACCGGTCCGTATATTGTGGATACAGGAATACAAATGTCCATAATATCAGAAATTTCACTGAAATAAACAAAGGAAGTTAGATTTAATTTTACTCCTGTTTTTCCCAACCAAGTCAAATTCGTTTCTGAAGTGGTTTTCAAATTAAGATTGCAAAAATCTTTACCAAATTTTAATTTTAATTTTAATTTTCCATTTTAATGGAAAAATTTTACAAATTTTAAAAATTGCAAAAATTTTAAAAAAAATCGATCCATCTTTACCAGGATCTTTTCATCATAAAGAGAAAAAATGATGATAAAAGCTGTAACACTTCATGAAATATTCACTGTCCGCTCAGAAATCATCAAACCATCGGAATCTTTCGAGTCTTCAAAACTTATCAAGCTTACCAATGAAAATAACTTGGACATATTGGCCAATGCGACCTCCTACCGCATTTTCATTTTGATTCCATCCATTAACTGTTGCAGCATCAGCTGCTGCATCCAACGATGTACCCCTCATTGCTGTTATACCTGGATCTGGACCCATCACTGCATTATAACCATAACGAAAGGTTCGCAAGAGGACGTTCTGTACTCGTATTAATCTAGAAATGACGATTAATTAATCGCTTTAACATTACAATGAGCAGAAACCACAAAACAAGCTGAAAAATTAGGCAAGATTAGTTTACCAACTAATCCCAGAAAACTGCAATGATTTTAACAACTGAATGATGATTTTATCTCATCTTTCCCCACTAGCTTCTGCTTTACACATATTTTAAGTTTTAGAATCAGCTTTGGGAGCTGCCTTAGAGACATCCTATCATTTCCTACTCAAATATCTTTGGTCACTACAACGCTCTTCTTTTAGAAGAATTCTTCGGAACCCAGATTAGTAGAACAGAAGACGATACATACACAGGATCACTTTGATTGTCTTCTATAGAATGACCTCGAAATGTCTGAATAATGGTTTGAGTCAATTCCTCTGCTGCATTAGCCGATACCGACTGTCTGCCAGCTATGGCTGCAATGGCTGCTGCAGCTGTTCCATTGCTTACATCTGAAAACACCTTGATAAATTACTGAATCAGTAAAACTTACCAAACCTTCAATTTGTTCCTGTTTTCTCTCCAAAGCAATCTGCCGCCTACATATTCCTTTTAAATGAATTAACTAAACCTACCAACAGATTACAAGCGGAATTCGCTATATAAGTAAACAGAAACCAACTACTCATTTTTCCCGTCATAAATTACTTATGCATGTGCTCCAGTGAAAACTTTTAACACAAACAAGGATAAAAGTAATAAAATTCATATTTGCAGTCATAAATGAAAATCACATAGAAAGTGCAGCTTTACGAAGATTTGTCCTCACTACTTTGTACTTTCTTAAATTTCCGTATACTTCTGAAAATTCAACTTTAACTGCTTTTACGATTGACATTTCCGAACACTACTAAATCTAATTTTAATATGACATGGTGCAGACAAACAGCAGATTCTTCGAAGTTTCTAAACAGTCTCTGAATTCTGCCACGCATACATATAAACAAATGTCCATTTTTAATCCTAATAAGATCAACCAGAAAGAATTTCCATACCAGAAAATTCATACGATGACACAGTATTATTTGATGCGTTCGGAGCTGATGAGGAAGGTTGTGCGTAAGGTGTAGAACTAACATGACAATGTACAACGCATTGGTCATGTAAACCATAACTTAATAATGATCGTGTATCATCTCGTAATAACTGCCCGCGATAAATCAGCCGCACTATTTTCCCGGCAAGTATCGATTCCCAGAAATAGCGCCTAAAGTTATCGGAGATCATCAAGTTCTCAAAATTCCTTAATAAGTCCCTGAACACCAAAAGGTTGAATAACCTAATACCAGTCAGTCTCCATCACCAGCTACTAAAAGACGTCGGTATCGCCGCAAATTTCAGTATCTTGTTCTAGTTGGTGATGTGGGAGTGCAACTGTGTTTCACTACGCCTATATCCTGAAATGCTCCCGACTGTACTACTCTTTGAAATTAAGGATCTAAGCATAAAAAATTCCGGTCCGTTTATAATTGGGTGGCATCGTGAAGTACTCTTACAAGTATATTATTTTGGAATTGAATAAAATTCTTCAACAAAAAAGCACAGTATAATCAAATATAACTGTCCCACATAACTGCCCCATAACCGGGATAACTGTCCCGTAACTGTCCCCCATAAAGCGAATCAAAATAGAGTATTTCACTATCGGCAATCAAAAATAACTAATATCCCAAAAATTAATCTGCAGAAAGATAAAATTCAAGAAAATAAGAACCTCTTAAACTGTCCCACAGTACATTCCAATGCTGTACAAGCAACAACCTGAGAGTCATCCAAAAACTTTAATTTTACATTAGATAATTGACACCCAGCGTTATCCCCTTCCATTCTTGCAACGGATTGAATTGCTGAATCTGAAATTTTTGGTTTTACACAGAAGTCATTCGAGCACCCAGCTAAAACCACTGACAACATAATTTCTCTTCATACTTTGTCTTTTTTGGAAATTCATCTTTTGTCCAAACTTTATTCCTTCACTTTATTCCTTCATTTATTTCCTTTTATTCCTTCATTTATTCACTTTATCTCTCGTTCAAATTTCTTTCCAAATTTATGCAAGAATTCAAAAATATTTCATTTTTGCTAATAAAGTCTTCGGCTGGCATTATTTCGAAACAAAGATAAAAATCTTTTTTAAAATATATGTATACAGAGATCAAAACATAATAGAGATGGTGGAGGAATTTCAATTACTACCATCAGAAATCCGTTATTCTTTCACTTCTACATAAATGATCTTTTTTAGAAGCTTACCAGTAATAACCGAAGATAATTCACGTTTTCTGTCAGTTGGCGAATTCTTTCCATTTTTAATCTAAAATAAGGAACATCTTATACCGGTAGCGTACTGCTTGGGCATGATAATTTAAATGGAGAGTTACTAGGATCATCAAAGTAGGATCGAAAGCTATTCTGAACATTAAAATTTGCTTGCGATAATGATCTTATAACGTGAGAACATGCCAACATACTCTTCATTCTGGACCCATCCAATATCTATATACATTTCAAAGCCAACAGCAATAATCAACTACTAGCAGCTTTTTTTTTTGTGTAAACTCAATAAACAATAAGAAAAACGGTGCCTTCATGACTTGCTCAAAACTTCCGTAACAACTCAATATTCGACATAATATAATAGATGCACTTTTTTAGTCTCAGCAAAAATTAGAAAGGGTAAAGTTTTGCACAATAAATACTCGAACATACTGAAGTTGAAGTTAAAAGATCAGCATTTTGTTCCCCATTACCAGTTTCTCCTCGTAAATAAGTTGCATGGAGCAAGTTTTCTGTGCTTTCTGTTAAGCTGGTTGCCTAAAAGCATTGGTTTTTGAAAGTCAATTACCTATATAAGCACATTTCTAACCGATAAATAAGAATACTGTCAAACGAGTCTATTAACAATGGTTATCAGATTTCTTTGTCACCAACCCTGAGTTTTTGTGTAAAGTAAGTCTGTCCTTTTTATACAATGCCTTTCTATTTATTTTTTCGTCATAGAATTTCCAACCGATATGAAACTTAATTGCCAAATTCCTTTTAACCAAATGTTTACGCAAATATAAAAGCAAAACAGCGTAATAAAACTACACCTGATTTGGATATACAACATATTGAGGCTCTGTTGGTACTAAACCACAGAAAATGAATACTAGTGCTACAATAATAAAAAAGAAAAAGCTAGATCTGATGGATAACAAAAACCTGTTCTGTTTGCGATATTTCTTGTGCGTACAGCGTACTGTCCTCACTTCTGGAAAAAGAAATGATCATAGTTAGAGCAATGGAAAAATAGACTTCTCGAAAAAAATCTCAGTAACACATCGGAAACAGAATTCCTGAAGAATGAACATTCCACTAAGTTTCATCAACTTTTATGATTTCAGAAAATCCAACTTAATTCTCGTTTACAAACAATTTGAATTAATCTTCATTAAAGACGTTTCCTACGCATATAAGACTAGATCAATGATAAAAGAAACTATAAAATTACGGCTAACGTTTGTCGTTGCGCCATTTCTGTTATTTGAGGCAACACTGCCTCTTGAGAAGTGCTTTGTTCCATAACATCATTGTCCATTAAAGCTTCAAGTGCTTGTTCCGTGACCGTACCAAGAGGCCGTCCATCTCGACGATTTCGAAATAAGTTGACTTCTTGATTATCTACTTGCAACACCTAAGTTCATAGCAAAAAATTATTTTTTCCGACGTCTCCCATTATCAGTAGACAACACAACTCGTTCAGTTGCAGGATTAAACCTCAATTATAACAGTTCCGTAGTCAAAGTTTGAAAAGCGGGTTCATATCATCTTGTTCGTTAACGAATCTCAAACGTTTCATAAAGAAAATGATTTGGAATCAAACGAATTACCTGAACAATTCTTCTATTGGGATGAATCTGCATTTGAACAAGCCATACATAATAATCAACTGGTGGTATACCAGTACTAATCCAAGCCAGCGATATTAACACGATGACAATTACCGCTATCAGAAACCAAATCACCTGAAAAGATTTCATTCGTATAAAGACCTACTTGTCATCTCTCTAATTCTTACATTATGACCATAGGTAGCATAGTTACATTGGGGCGTATGGTATTTTGAAATTAGGGTTACAAATCTAACTTCATTTTTGAGAATAAAGGAAGACAAAAGTCATTTTGACATTATTTTTAAAATATCGACAATTTTGAGACCATAATAGAGAGAAGTAATGAGGTGGCCAAGCTTAATTCTACGATCTTTTGAAATGTTCTAATGAGATTCTTTTTAATGTATAAAAAAACTATTCTTTTCCTTTAGATACTGCAAAAACTTGTCCTTTAGCACTGTAACTACAACAGCTGCAATTCAATTAGTTACTTCGAAGTTGTTGCTCCCATAAACTAGCAACAATTAAAGCAATCTACTGCTATGTTTGAGTGTCTGAATGGTACTCAATTACGAGAACAGAATTAATTAACCTCATCTCCGATGCCTTCAATAAAGTCAGCCATGCGATACATGTGCTATAATGAGAGTTGAAACATGATAGCAATATCCTGAAATGCAACACAGACCACCCTTCATCGAATCAAACTCTCGCTAATCTTTGAATATCGAACACCCCACAATTCGACCGACCATCCCACTTGCAGCAGCATTTCTTAAGGTCCCGTTGAAATCTGACGATTTCGTTCCATCATGCTGCAGAAAGGAGTGAAGTGCATTAGTACTTATATTTGGGGGATGATAAAGGAAGAGAAAGTACAAGTGACTCAGGGAAAATATGCGAATCATCAGGAAGAAGGAGAGGAGGAGTAGCCAATCCTACATTGGTTGTTCATATTCTTCGGCTTATATTCTGATCATTTTCATTTTAATCGAAGTCAGCTGTCGTTAAAATGCTTAGTTAATAAATTGTTGGTGCAATGTCATTTCGATTATCAATCAGAGAAGAGCGCTTATTGTTTACTGTATCTATTCGTCCGGTTTTAGGAAATCAATAAAGACTGCTTCTTGCTTTCTCCTATGTCAGAATGTAAACAAGTGGTTGGATTTTAGTACACTCAAGATTTCATTGTTCCTCATGCTTTTACTTAGCTGTAAAGTATTTAAGGGATACACTAAGGCATTCGAAGGTCATTTTAATACAGGTTCAAGTGCGTGGTGGTTTTCTTGTGAAACAGTTCTGTATTTTCAGTTATGAGGGCTCATCATGTACTCCTTTGCTTAAGAATTCTAATGGTAGTAAGTTATTTTGCTATGAGCAATGAATTTCAAAGTGGTGTAGTGCAGCTGTTACCATGTCAGAATAGTGGTGCAAATCAGGATACTTACTTTCTATCAGAATGAATTGAAGTTTAATCTCCTGTTCCGTAGAGGTTAAAAAATCGTGGAAAGTTCCCTCTTAGCTCCTTATCTCTGTTTTTCGATTTTTTTCGACTTTAGTTCTTCTGCATATGGATATTGGTATGTGGAGCAATTATGGCATCACATTATTCATATGGCAGTCGTGAAACGCTGATCATTGCCATAATACTAGATGCGTTGCTGATGGTTTTTTCCATTTTCTTGATTGTCGATGTCTTGAAAAGATATTATCTGCAGTTTCCAATGGTACTGTATGCTTATTTATTAATAAGAACTCTTTCAAAAAACATCACGTGTAAAATTACATGAAGTTTATACGTCGGTTCGCTGAATATAACACCACAATTTTTGCGTATTAACTTCAACGAGTTACGCTTAGTGCGATTCGAAAAATCAAGTAATAAAGATGTATGGCAAGATGAAATCAAAATACGATCCAAACATAACTGTTTTTGCAAAACTAGTTGAATCAGGAACTTTGGACTAGGTCGATGCTTTCTATGATTCCATCACCTCATGTGAGTACTTGAGAAGCAAGTTAGAAATTTTAAAAATCAATTCGTTTTGAAACACTTATCTGTTGTGGCTTGGAAAAAGCTCCAGTCTTTTGAGCTTTGAAATTTCTAAGTAGAGGATGTAACAGTACAATGAGGTCATCAAACCTCTCTAAATTCCACTTCAACCTTAAAATTCAATTTCTGGCTGAAACTTTTCAGTAAAAATGAGATAAAATTAAAGTGTCTCAGCTTAAAGTTCTGGTTTACTTAAGTGTACATTTGGCAACAAATCGCAGTTAGTTTCGCGTTAAGTAATGATTATGTTAAAAAGAATTATTGAAACCTTGCTTTATTTGTCCCCATAGTTCGTGCATTGATCTTTCTTCAGCAACAAATTATTTTAGATTATTTGATATGTAGGATAATCCATTCCAAACGTGTATAATCCAAACGCGCAAATTGTCAATAGTGGGAGAATAAATTTTATAGACGTCATGCATGCTTCAATCGTTTGAGAAATAATTGTTCTCCGCATGTGTCAAATATTATTTTAGCTAACATACATAACACTTATTGCCGTTGTTATTGCTGGAATCGTTGCATGGATGATCACTGCATCGGCAACAGTTGATGTATTGGCTACTTTAACTATTGTGAGTTCCCTGTCTTCTAAAGATTATAATAAAGAAGAGAAAAAAATTCAGTTAAATCATCTTCCCCTTAACTTTTCTCAACATACGTCGAATCTACTAGATATCATTGATTCCAGCAACAGTTCAGGTTTTTTTTCTTTGCTTCGTTCGTAAAAATCATTAGTCACAAGCATCAAAATCACTAAATGAAAAGTTACTTTTTCAATATAACTTAGCGATTAAGAAAGCATGAATGCTGATTTCGGAAAAAGGAAAAGAGTAGACCACAATATCAGTATGAAATGTTGGTCGAACGATATCTGTTGATAAAATTTAAACTTTAACGAAATATCCCAAGCGAAAATACCTTTTAGGGCAATGCATGGCATACAGTAACGTGTCTTATGATCGATTCTATGACGCAGCGATATGCAACGGGTCCAGGTCAAATTTTTTATACTCAAACGTCATCAGCACAAACACCTACTGGAAGCATAGTAATAAAATACAATCGACATGTTGATACCAATGATGGGTAGCGATAGTCTTATCTCATCCATCTCGCTAACAAAGGCAACTTTTGATCGGTCCCCAGTGCTTTTGCATACAAAGCGCAAAAAAAACAACACTTCGTTGTCTGCTTTGTACTCTTACCATTCAGTACCATGAAGTATACGTTTATAGTTACGTATATTGGCGTTCTATTCTGATCTCACTACATCCTCTTTTGTTTTTGTTTTTTTTTGAATGCATGAAGCTGCACCTTTACAATATTTGGTTTGGTATAACATCCTGGAAATACTGCACTCTAAATGATTTATTTTCCATTTAAAAGCTTGGAATAGTAAACATATAGAACATGGGGGTTTGCTTCATGAATGAACATTTTGAACGGATGAATGAGTAGAAGTAGGTTTTATAGGTAAAAAGACAAATGTAAATTTGCTGGGCAACTCCTGATAGACAAGAAAGCGGAACTTTTATACATCACCATTAAATTAGAAAAGCTTTTTTTTCGAACAAGTTGTGTACAATATATGAATTTGAATTATTTCACTGTTGTAACATGTATGAAGCCGAATTTTTCTTTTTGAGGAATTACGCTTCATATCATTCAAATAAAAGTTTTTAAATTTCTAAAGATCCTTCCTTTTTAAATTCTTGTCAAAATCATTGATTTTGCGAAACAACAATACTTCGGAGCCACTAAGGATGCCCAGCTTACCAGCATGAACAATATTGTTCACTGTACCAGCAAGAAATACTCGTTTAAAACGAAGAAATCCTTTAGGCATAATATGAAGTGCTTGTGCAACCAAAATTATCCAATCAATCAGTGACGACCTGCAATTAGATATTCGAGACCGCTCCTTGTGAATTTCACATGTTTGAAAGCGAAATTTAAAAAAATGGGACTAATAAGTAATCAACATTACAGCTTTTTCTTTCCTTTTTCTCTTATATTGATGTGAATGGACGCTGGATAATTGGGGAGATTAAAACAAACTACAACAAAAATAAGCTAAACTTATAACAACCTCAGGGAAAAAAAGTTGGAAAAGGGAAAAACTGTTTACTATTTAAATTTAAAGTGAGTGTATTGGACTGCAATACGGAGTAAATATAGATTACAGGTAGGGACGAAGGTATGGATGACCATGATAATTTTTAAAAAAACATTTTATTGAAGACAGCGATATAACAACTACCCAGAAAGGAAATATTGTTTGTTCCTAAAGATAACAATAGTGCGTAAAGTAAACGAACCTCAAGAAAATCCGATAAAAAGATTTTTGAAAAAAAAAGTGTTTACTGCTGTATGCTTTCAAATGTAAAGATGTAAATTTGTTCTTCATCCGTAAAGCGAGCTAAGTAGTGATGAGATAGATTCATCACTTGAATAAAGTCAGTTTTAATAAGATTTCATCACAGGAAAATATGAAACTGAACCAACCTAATAAGCCACATGAAAAAGGGAGAATGGGAAAAGCAAAAATAATAAGGATTTCCAGTTTCTTGGTCAAGATTGATATTTCCTGCCAGTTCCAAACCATAAATTTTTGCCGTATTTACTATTTCTTCTCTGAAAAATAAACTTCAAAGGAGTAGATTCAAAGACTAATAAAATAGTATGTTGGAATGCTTCATTATCACTGACCCCAACATTCTATTAATAATGACAGTCGATATATTTTAACATATGAGCTAAAAATTTAAAAGGAACAACAAAACACGTTACTGTCCTTTTAATAGATATAAATGAGATTAATTAATTGCTCAAATATGTGTTAAAAAAAGCTCACTTGGTGTGTAAGGGAGGCATTCCACAAGCATACTCTAAATTATTGATAATTGTTTTATGTTCCTCTGAAGAGGAGTGATATTTATCAGTTTTCAATAAGTCATAAACAAGGAAAAATCCCCCTGGACGTAAAATCCGATTTATTTCTTGTAATGGTGGCTTTAAATCTTCCATATACTTCAGAGCATAAACCTGAAAAAATGCATCGAAAATTAGATTGCAACTTTTCGGTGCACTTTCTAAATCAATGAATTGCCGTGGAATATAGCAATATTGGACTGACTATATTGTGACAAAATTCCCAACAGAGGTAAGCATAATTTAAGGTATCAGACGCGATCACTTGATGATTTTGTGGTATATTAATGTATGCTTACGCAACGCAATTACATAATGTAATTGCGTTATAATTACATAATTATATATTGCACTAATGTAATTGCGTTAATTGCGTTATAATTACATAATTACATAATGCACGCTTATCGCAACAGACAAGAACATCCTTGATTGAACTTACCGCATATGCGCAATCATAACGACTGTCCACCAATGGTAAGCAGCAATAGTTCCCTTGCACAATACTACAATTTTGGAGACCTTCATTCTGGAAACGTTTGTTCCCAATTACCACCTCATTTCCTGCTATTGTCACACCAGTCAAATCAGCTCCAGTGAGGGCTAGATCGTGCATAACACCACCTATACCACATCCAATATCTACACACTTCTTACCTAAAATTAAACTTTACGATCGGTTCGATAGGCAAGTATAAATCCTTGTAGCCATATCAAGTATTCTCGCAAAACTGCTCAAGTATATGGTACCTTCCGCAAGTTCTAAACAGTGACCGATTCGTACATGAAGTTCTTTCAGTGCATCTGCCAGCGATTGCTGTCTCTCTCGAGGCGGAGCAAAATGAAAACTTCCATTAAAGTATTCATCAATAACGGTGGACATAACGGAGTAGTAGTGCGTCGTAACCAACGAATAGTCCGATTTTGCCTTTGCCTCTCTATACAATCGGTCATGTTCTTCAGCAAATGATTCCTGAATTTCAAATGCATCTTGTCGCCATCACAAAGGTTAAGGTTAAAATCTTTGAAAGAATATTTGGTTATTTCGAAAAATCAAGAAAGTTAAGACGCTCCACACCATTTGAAATACTTAAGATATTCAAAATCTTTTTTACACTGTCTCAACCCCAATTTGATTCTTTGAGCATTTCGGCTTTGCCCTAAATAACGAGTATGCAAGGATGGACTTCAGTTCTTATTCATTAACATATGATTTACATTAACTTCATCTTATCAATAGGATGAATTATTGAAATGTAATTGTTATACAACTGATAAATGATTTATCTCGCAGTAGAAATTATTGATAAAAAAAAAAAACCATTTGAAATACTTAGGATTTTCCTTGTGACGCATTTTATTAAGGACAAAAAACGTTACAATCCGAAAAAAATGAAGGAATAAAAGGAACTAAAATGAAAAGGAAGTAATGTTACACTGTACATTGTGTCAGTATAATGGTACACTGATACAATGTACATCCGAACCGTAAATTTGCCGGGTGCTCATTCACTTTTGGATCGGAGTTTTCGAATGTCGACGTAGTTCCTAACAGAATAATGCTTTAATGTGTCATGTAAACATAAACGTATAAGTTTCAATTCAAACATCAGATGTTTAAGTGGTAACAATATCAAACATCCATCTGAAAAAGTTCCCTTCAAGAAGGACAGAATAAGCTACACATATTGAGGAAGATCGTAAAGCTACTGCTAATTTTTTTTTGCTTAATATAAGAATCCGTTAATCCACCAATTCCTTGAAACAATGCCAACTAACCTTCACTAGCCTCCAATTTGGTTTTATCAAAAATTGTATGATTGCCATCGAAATGAAATTTTAGATCGGAAGATAAAAGAAGCAAAAAAAAGGAATATCAATCGGTGACAGTCTGCAATTTTATCTCTCTACCGAGCGCCTCTTCAAAAAAATTATACAGTTGTGCTTCCATTTGTTGAGTTCATTAAAATTCGAGAAAGTCTGAACTCATATTCTTCAATTTAAGAAAATCTTAGGTTACCAATGGTTAAACAGGCAAATGATTCCATGTGCAGATCCAAATAACTAAAGGATTTGAAATTCTCAACATAACATGGAAGACAGTGAGATAAAAAGCTTCTAATCTTGAAAAAGACTAAGTCTCGCTTTCCCTCTTTCGAAAAAACCATAGGAGTGTTTTATTTGACAGAAAAAAAGCAATTTACCAAATCTTCCCGTCGAAAATGTCGTAGTAATTTGAAAAACTTCGATGTTAAATCAATCGACATGATGACCAGAGTGTTATAGCACGGAATGATCGTTTTTCTCATAGAGGGATTTCTCGGAGTGATCATGAAAATCGGCATCAATATAACACCCAACACTGTCATGATTGTAACAGTTCTACTCCTTATCACTATGCAAAAACAAGGACAACATTATGGGGGGAAGGGAGGAGAGGGTAGAAGAGGAGGGGATGCACAGACACGCATACTCACACAATCTACAAGAAATATTACAACTGCGACATGTCTTGTACAAAGCGGTGGTGCAAAGGGAACACGAGAAAATCGTACTTTTAGTTTCTCATTATCTTCCAATCTTCAAAGAGCAAAATAACAAAAGAACTTAAACGAATAGATTTAATGGTAAAATTTTGTAAAAGTATGAAGGATTCTTTTAAGATGATAGTCAAGAATATGAAATATCAATTTTTAAAGCAATCGAGCACGTGAGTTAAAAATGACTTCTTTCATCAATATATGGTATATTTGAGTAATTTCGAAGCAATACCCATTTTTAGGAGTTGAAATAATAAATCTTTCTTAAAATACATTTTGTTTAGAATTTGCAAATTATTAAAATCTGATTCGCATGAATATACATTCCTGAGTGCAACATGTACACTTATTTCTCTAGAACGTTAACATGGTAAGCCCGAAAACAGTAAAACTGATCACTTTTCCTTAATTGTTCGCATTGGAAAGAGGTAAACGAAGAATCAATGTTTTGGTTAATGCAGCAGCACGGACACTGCTATAACCCTGAAAAAAAATTTTCCATTTGCATCTAATCAGAAAATCATAATTTGGTGTACAAACAGCTTATGAAACAACATCTGTTTGTTTTCTGATTTGTATAACTTCAGTAAAAACCTTCTTTGCACAACTATTAATCCGATACTAGTCGCTGAACCACCACCTTCTACGAAAAGTTCATTATTCCAGGGTCAAGTATAGGAGTATTGGAAAAAAAAATATAAATTTTCATGGGATACATGTCGGCCGTACTTTCGATGAGTTGGACTAAGTAACTAAATAAATATTAATCCTAACAAAGACAACTTTTTCATCCTTTTTAATCCAACCAGTGCTTCTTAAGGGAAAACAGCCGATTTACAAACCAAACTCTTCTACCTGCCACACACGACTAGCGCGACTTTGACCGTGTTGATAATCTGTAATACCACGGATCAGTGTCCAGCTATCAATTCGTGAGCCATTTATGGCAGCAATAACAGAATCGAAACCAGCATCAACCGCACGTAAATTATGGTTTGCGGCAAATTTGTCACGAAATTGAGCCGTAGCACCACTAGTGTCGTCACCAATCTCAAACAAATTGCTGTAAAGCAACTTCACCTCATATTTTATTTTAATCCACTGTCTTAACTTATTATTCTGCTCTATTCTTTTTCTAAACATTTCTTTTAGAAGGAAGAATTTGAATTGTGATTCATGGGTTTAAAATAAAACCATGACTGATTCTCCCATAAAATGCAAGATCTTACCTTTTAATGAAATAGAGTACTGAAAGTAGGCGTGAAGTGAAGAACAAAGACAGGAAAATTGGGCAAAGTAATGGTCAGATTTGACAGATCTAAAGAAAATATTCAGAGGGGATTTTAAAATACTACCTGCTCTTCATTAGCAAATGTCTGCTTTCTATATGAAACCATTGCTCCAATGGAACCAACATGAACTGCCGAGTCAACTCTTTCCGAATTAGGATGTGGGATGACAACTACCTGCCCACCACCTGGAACAAAAACGAATTTATTTCAAGCTTACATAGTGACATATGACTGATCAGTATGTTTTTATTCCTGCAATTTTCAGAACCTGCAAATTCTCTTTCTTCAAAAATTACATACAGTATTCATCTTGATTTGAAATCAAATTAATGAGCTTTGCTCTTTAACTTAGCTTACCAACAGGGACAGCTAATAAATCAGCCTGTGGCGGCGGTCTTGAAAAACTCATGTCGCCGTTGGCAGCATCCAAATGATCAATGGTTGTTTTCGTTATCGAGTTCCATTCTGCTATCATTTTTTCGTCCCTGGAAAATCAAAGCAGAGATGGATTAACTTCGCTTAGCTTACTATTTATAAGTATTTCATAGTCGTCAATAGCTTAATTAGCTTATTTATTTGCTTAACCAAAACTCGTTATTTTTAGTTTCTCTTCAAACGTTCATCAAAACTAAAAGCAAATCTTACATATTTTTTGCAATATGAGCAATAATTGCATCTTGAGGATTCCAATTTCGAACTAGGAAGCCATTTACATGTTCTGTCGTTCTATCAATAGTATAGGCATGCGCAAACACATAAGAATTCGGATCCGGACTGCTGACAACGACGTCACCAAGACGTACGTGTCGCGTAGCATCCGTGTAATGAGCAACACCGCCACCAACACCAACGATAAATACATGCTCAACATGTTGAAAATTACCCAGAAGACGAGTTGTGATAGAACCAGCAGATGTTGTTGCTTCACGACTATCACCTGTAAATCAATACTACCGACTCCAAAGGATTAGACTTAAATTTGGAATAACTAGCATTTTCTGGAGAATTTACTATATACAATTGAACAAAACCCTTTATCACAGTAGTAATTGATATCTCTATCACTGCTTTAAGTGCCATCGGACCGTCAAGGATTCCGGAAACTTTTAGCTATTGTTATTCTGCTCTATTGAACTAATGGTCACTTATTAAAATCCATGTCTTTGGAACTCCTCCCTCTATCAGATAAAAATTGATAGACAACAATTTATTACCAAGACCTACAAATCGGGCCACAGAATAAAAGAAATACACACCAATAACCGCCAATTTCGTCGCAACAACCCGATGCTTTCCAATCCATCCAAGGGTATAAATATTGGAATCACCACCGGAACGGTAACGATGAACCGTCGTACTGTTATCAATGATCGCATCAATGCTCTGTTTCTCAGTAAACAAGCATGTTAAGATAGCAACAGTAGGGTGGTCACGTGGACCGAAGCTAGCTGGAGTTCGAGATAATTCAACTGCAAGAATGAAGGAAGAATGAATATATTCGAAAGTTCCTTCTTATTGACCCGGACTCTTTGTGCGTAAAATTACATATAATGTTCCAAAATCAGAACTAACAGTATGCTCAATAATCGTACGAATCAAAGTAATTTTGTTTTATTCCTAGAAAGTCCCCCACCAAAAAAAAGAGAAAAAGATTTATTCATTTTTTCCGGTGTTCCCTACTGGAAAAATAGTCCAGACTCTGTAAAGTTTACGAATTAAAAAACTTACTGTTATCGACAGCGCTCACACGAATCCATTCATTCTGCAGCTTTTGTACAACACCTAGTGCTTCTAGTTCATGAAGAAATCCATTAACTTCCTTGCTTGTACAACGCAAAGATCTAAAATTTGAAAATCTGATGAAAAATTAAATAAAAAAAATTTGATTAAAAAAACACGACAGAGTTAATCTTTTGGCCTCTTTTGAATAATCTCGAATAATACATAAGCAATTCGAAATTTGTAATTTGGAATAGGCTTCGCAAGAATTCATGAATCTATAAAAGACGGAATTATCCAAAAATCCAGTTATTACACCTTCAAAAACATTGTCCATAACTTACTCCGCAATAATGTCCACAGATAAACCATTTGGATATGCGTGTTCCAGAACTTCCTGTACATGAGCTACGGTAACGTTCTCAACTTCAGAACCAGAATCTGAAGAAAAATTCAATAAAAGAATTCACAGAACGATTGAATTTGCCTTACATGAATTTGCTGACCAGTCAGATAATTATATCCAGTTGAAACATTAAAATATTCAGCAAACTGAGAAAGTCGATTAACAAATATTCATTGTTAATGCGGTCAAAAATAACTCTGAATAGACGAAACTTTTACTTTCGCACCAACTTTTTCTTTTTTACCCACTTTTGTCAATCTCTTTTGTCAATTTTGAACATCAAAACATCCTCATGGATTGTGAAATCTACCATATTGCTTAGGATCAGGCATCTGGTATGTTTCATCTTCCTTCGCAAACTGCATGTCAATTTCGATTTCTCGCAAAGCAACATAATCGTTTTGCATGAGCTTCAAAATTCGCTTCAGAAATGTTACATAATCTGAAATCTATTTTCATACGACTCATCAAAACTTCAAAACGGAACTCTTGAATTCTTCTCGCAGTCATACCCAACAAAAGTTGCTCCCACATGAATCCAAGTTATTGCGGATATGCGGAATATTAATGCTAACGTTATTATTTGAAAATTAGTTCCTATTTCTCTTTTGAAAACAAAATCACCTCTTGGAAAAATATTGACAAGATCCCGGAAGAATTGTTGAGCTATAGCATGCTTGTCAGCACTTCCCGTATCTTCGAAAAACCGGAAACGGAAGCAACGGTTCTCCTGAAAAGGAGAGACTTATTTATTTTTCTTTTTTGCAAACAGTTAAAGAACTTTACGTTATCCGCAAGCAGAAATATATTTTCTTAGTACTGCAAAAGCTTGCATCAAATATGCAGAAATGTAAAAAAATTTATATACAAACGGGCACCGTTATTTGTGCTGATTAGAAATGTAATTATGGAATGCTAAGATTTCGACATAGGTTTATATTACACTAAGAACTTTGCGCTATGGTTTATATTACACTAAGACTTAAAAAGAAAAAGAAAAACCGAAGACAAGGTACGAGACATATACATTTGTAGATGCAAGTTAAGGGTGTTAAATAAATAAAAGCATGTATATTAAAAAAAAATTAATGAGAAAACGAACAAAAAACACTGGTTATTTACAAGCAATGACTAGACAATATCCGGCAAATAATAACCACTTGTAACACATGAAACTTAACCTGCTTCTTCATATTCCCATTTCGTAGCCACACGGAAAAAGTGAGCGAGACATCACATTTTAAATCTACAATATAAATATTTAAGCTCATCTGATCTTATATGAAGTTGCGGAAGTGGATTGTAATGATCAGTTATGCTTCTTTGACATTATGTACAAATTATACAACAAAAATTACACAAACTTGGCTTTCCATCGGTAAGCTTATTGATAACAATGCCAGTGTGTTCTCCACCTGCAACATGCAATATGCAAGTGTATTCAACCTCGATGTTCCTAAAAAAATCCATTTGAAAAATTTTCAAAATCTAATTTAGGTCGAAATAACTCATTTATCAAGGAGGATGAAACGGCATAAATTAAGAAGGTGTAAGAAAATGTAAATGTAAGACTTACATCAAGAAAATGTATGAGATAAACCAAGAAAAAAAAAGAAAAAAAGACAAATGTAGTGGAAAGTTGGTTTTTCAAATTTTTCATTTTTTTTTTCCAAAAAAGCAACAAATTTCAAACACATAAGAAGCGTTTAATCATTTTTTCTCTCTTCCCTAACATTTATTGTTTTCAACGCTTCACCAATACAAAAAAAAAATTTAAATAGCCATCTTTCAGATGGCTGTGGTTTCAACGCATAACCTAAAAACTTAGGCTTAAAAAGCCAACAAATTGCAACGAGAAAAAATATTAAAAGAATGGAGCGGATTTTCCTATTTTTAAAGCAATATGTGAAACGTTCACACTTCTCAGTAGACAACGCATCGTCAATTCTTATTGGCCTCCCTTTCCTTATTCAAGTGATCAGAAAAACTGCTCATCCCTTTTTTCCAAGTTTATGGAAGTCTTTTGTATGACTCAATGAAATAATATTCTTCTCATTTCACCTAGAATTGGAAAAGAACAATCCTTATTTCTGTAATTTCAGAGATGAAGTTTCTATTTCTTAATTTTAAAAACAGCAAAAATGAGGACGAAGTTTGAAATTTTCCCTCTCAAAAACTCATATAAAGAGTGACTGTTGGTGATCACATGAAATTCGATTGGCTGGTTTGGATATCAGGTTTGCACATCAGGCTTTCACTTTTCCCACATCCTAATCAGTGCAGAGGTTCTTCATACAGCTCCGAATTCTTTTCTCTTTCGTCTGTCTGAAAATTTCTTTCCAGCACCGATGTGAGAACACTTACCGTGAAATAAGCACTACATTATGTTCCGGACTTTGTACAAGAGGTGAAAGTACCACAAGTCCACCGGAATAGGGTGCTTTCGTTGCTACCATTTTCGAAACAATAGCCACCGTGAACCAAAAAAGCTTTTCTCACTTACTGCAACACTTGTGGAAAGCGATCTGAAAAATGACGGGAGAAGAAGTCTGTGTTGTGGCCGCATATCTTGCTGAAACCTGTCCGTATCATCCAAATACTTTTGGGGGCAGATAAGACTTGTCCAAATCAGCTCGCACTCTAAGCTCACAGCAAAACGAACCACAGGAAAAGAACTATCGAAAGGCAAGGCCGTACTCTGACGCTTCCATTTCAGGCATCAAATATTTTAAAATTGTAAGAAATATCGCATGTGAAATCAAATGGCAACAAAAATCAGACAAATGAGATTGCAACCAAAAAAGACAAATCAAATCGGAAAATGAAGAAAGGCTCTCGAGTCTCTCGACTTACTAAGTGATATGTGTGACATATGTTGTGGTCCTCCGAAGTTGGACATTTTATTCTTTAGTCATGTAAGAAAGTATCGAAAATAGGCTAAGGCTGCCCTATAACTTCAGAATTTGAACCGGAACGGGATTTGGGATGAACTCAAACACCACTTGAAGTCGGTTCGGTTACTGATGCAAGCAAAGCGCGACTACAAAGCGATACGTTACGTAGAGCTAGCTGCTACTTGATAAATTCTAAGCAAAAGCTATTCAATTGGTAGTAAATTAAATTTATCAGAGGACATTAAATAATATTCAAGAATCGTTAACGAAAATAACAATTACCGAATGGTAAAAAAAGCTTCCGCAAAATTTTGATAGCAATGCACTCTGCCACAAAAACCAACCAATCCTTTCTAAAAAAAAAGAAATGAATCATATGGAAAGACAAATGAAGAGAAATGTTTGTCCAAGGTTTCTTTCAAGATGTAATCATAAGTGAAGCACTTATAAATTCATATTTAAATTTCATCTAAATTTAGCGCGATCCATCTTGGCGTGTTTGCCCATATAACAGATGATGTTATTGACGGAAAACTGAGCATTAAATCACTTCCTGAAGCTTTATCAGGAAAATGGGAATATCTTTGCGGCTAAAAATATGCTTAAACATTTGTGAACCATGATTATTTTTCCAAAAAGCAATCTGCTGCCGACGAACTAACGATTCTTAATTTGAAATATACCAAAAAAAAAATTTTTAACAGCAAGAATTTAAAAGGATAATTCGAATGTCGTGATATGTTCATAAAATGGGTCTGAAAAGTATGAGAACTAGAGAATGTATATAATCAAATCTGACGAGAATAAAGAAGTCAGAAGTAGTTTATCGTTAATATTCGAAGTAATCGCAGTGATCTTCCTCTCGTGTAGTTTATTATTTTAGTTTTTTTTTAACAGTTGGTATCCATAAATTGAAATCAAATTTATCCAGTAGAAGCTAAAACCTTCCCAAGAAAAGAATGGAACTTGATGTTTAAGGAAGTATTCATGCTGTATCTAAACCTTCCCTCTCTCAATTAAGTTCTGCCACACAGTTTGAAATTGTTAAAACGGATAATTTCTTTTCCTTTTTTTAAAATTTAATACATCGTAAAACCTTCGTATCTGAAAGGAAACACATTTGATAGGGTTCTTCTTTCTCTTTCCTCATTTATTCTTTTGGAAATTTAAAAATTTTATTAAAATTCATGCCTATCATTTTTTTCCTGGAAAAACACAAAAAAGTTTCGCAGCAACAGATGTTTAAAATGAAGAACATAGAAGGAAGAAACAGAACATGAAAGAACATAGAATCAATATTACATTCACTAATACTCGAAGAACTTTTCCAAGTAACCATACCGATTTGAAGGTTGCAGTGCAAAATGAATGAATAATGCAAGAGAGGGTTCTAGACAACTTGAAATTCCATGAATGATTGATATCTTCCTCCAACTTTCCCACTCACTCACAAGGAATGCACTTCCATGTCGCAGTTATTGTCAATTTTGAAAGTAACAATACCAAAATGTTAAATAATCCCTCTTTATAGATTTTATCACAGATAAGTATCCGAGGACTTCTTTATTGCTCCGTTATACTGTTATTATCACTTTTTAATCACCATTATCAATATAGTGACCTCAGTATTATAGATACGTGATTCACTACAAACTGTCAGTTCAGCATCGACCCTTACGGCCAGAAGATAAACTTGTGCTGTCCCTGCAAGATCGCAAGGACACTGCTAATTATTGGAGAGCAATGTGATCCGTCTCGAAGGACACACCAAATATCCTCACTCAACTACCCCGTCCATCAGGTCAAACTATCCTCTTTCTGCTTCCATCAGTATCGGCCCTCACTATCGAAATCGGAAAAACCATTTTTTTTAATGCACTGACGACATATTTATTTCCTTTACAATTAATCCCCGATTCACTTTAATTTTCAGATTTACTTCTCGGCTTTCTTTTTTCAACAGCACTGTTCCCAGAATGATTTTTCGTCACAGATTAATCGAATCGAAATTGCTGGTGGAACTGTATGGTATACGATTAGCAGTCAAAACCGAAACCCAGTCTTCTGCAATGGTTTAATCTTAAGCTAGATAAATGACAATTTCCGGAAACAATTCAGAATTATGAGGATTGGAAGCTAGTTCAAAATCTTTTTTAACGTTTTATTTGCACAGCAGTTGTAAAAGATTGTTTATAGATAAATAATAAACAAATATTAAAATGTTCCACTTCAGACAAATTGATAAAGTCATTATGTGGAAAGTATACCTTGATGAAATTTGAGAATAAAGGGTGAAACGAGTAAGGCGAGTTGAGAAATCGTTCCCTCTTATATCTGATATCAAGTCAGAATAGAAAAGAAAAGGAATTAGACATTGAACCAAATTTGCAATAAGGAAAAGATTTGAAGATAAATCTCGATGTTTTGGAAGAAAAAATCGGTGGAGGAAAACATGTTAGGTCATTACATTGTAAAATCTTATATCTAAGTGATCTGCTTTAAAAGAACACATTTAATTCTCTCTGTATAGAGCTTTTTTCATCATCTCATATCTTCTCTCCGGTGACAATTCACACATGGCTAATGATTCATTCCCAAACTTGTTTTTTTATTTAAAACTGAAACTAATCACTGAAGTTTGCAGAAAAAGCACTTTCACCTGATAAGCTTTAAGTTGTATTTTCCTTATATAATAGTTATAGAAGGAAGACTTAGATTAAGAGAGTTGCTGTTGAAATAAAACAAGATTTTTTACGGAAACGAATAGCACTTGGATGAAAAGCTAATTTATTAGTTATTGTAGTTATGCTTAGATGCTTTTAACGTATTGAATATTTAAATGGAAATAGTCAAAGCAAATGAATTAATCATAACAGAAATGTTAAACAAAGATGGTAATTAGAGGCACAATGTTAGCATATGCTAATCATCGACAGAAACATCGATGATTTAGTATATCAATTGAGTTGACATTTAAAGTATCTGTTCA